GCTTTCCTCCAAAAACCTCTGAAAGTTTCGTGGTCTACGAAAGGTAGGCTACCCACTGTTCCCTTCGTGTTTTTAATCTCATTCGAATCTGACTCATACCAAAGAATGTACAGTATAAGATTGTTTACAACTTTATTTGAAATATTATTTTCTAAAGCGTGGGTGGTGTGGGAGGCGGGGGGTATCTTGCACACAGAAAACAAGAGCAACAGGGTGGTCTAAAAGAACCACTATTTGAAACACAAGGACGCCGGGGATGGGGGCGACATTCACAAATTTGCACGTCGATTTTTTAGGACTTAAAAAAAAAACGTAATTTAAGAGTGAACAATCTTATAATACACTATTTTTGTATACCCTTCACAGGTAGAATTGTTGTTCGGTGTCAGCCTCTAAACTCTAACATGTATTGACCCTGCTCTGATACCCAAGGTGAGTAAAGAATGTATCACTCTAACCTCAGAACTGGGATGTCTCGAGATAAATGTTTTTGTTGAAGTATTCCTCCTTACTTGATGAGGAGCTCTGTAAGAATAGATATGGGTGAATTTTCGAGGTCAGATACACCAGGCTATACAGCTAGATCCAGCCCATCCTTCTCCTCACGTTGTAAGCTCTTTTGTGGTCCTCTTTTTCAGGTCTGTCTGTCCTAATTAGTACAGCCCCTGCAGGAGTCACCTGTTTGATAACGCCAGTCTTCACTTTATAATCCTTTATCACAGAACTGCTACTATTGCTTGTTATTTGGTCTATACTATCATTCCGTCTAGCTCGGTTTGGAATGTTGTTGCTGTTCACACTCTTTTGACGATTTCGTTGTTTGGAATAGGAGATGCTGTTCTGTCCCACTTTTCTAGAAAATTGTTGGTTTGTTCGATTTTCTTCTTTTCGTTTCTGATAATTAAAATCAGAAGGAAAAGAAGAGTTTTTCGGTATCGATGCCGAGCTGTTGACCAGCACAACAAGTGACGACGAGATGGCAGATGGGTATGATGTGCTCTTGACCTTCGAGTCTTGGTATTCGATCTTGTTCACGTTTTCCGCCCCACCAGACGAGGAAGAGTCTTGATCGTGTGTGGGGAAGCTCACGTGGTCAGATAAGTAGTCTGCCATGCCCGGGTGTCGCTGCACGAGTCGTGGCCACAGCGACAGGAACCTGTTGAGCCTCTTGACGTGAAACACCATGAGCTCCCGTGAGTCGTTACGAAGCCGCTCCTCCACCACGCTGTAGTCCATGAGGTAGGCACTGTTGAGTCGCACGTGCTTGATGCCCAGTGTGTTCACCAGCAGACCCGTCACGTAGTAATCATCCACCCAGAAAAAGGGCGTGCGCAGCGCCGTATTGTAAAGAGGAGGAGCCAAATCAGCACTGAGGAGGAAGGCAGAGCCTGAACAGTAGGCGGGGAAATAGTCTGCCGGAAACTCCTCCCGTGATATGTACCATTTAGATTTTGTATCTCGCAACACCTGCATGCGCGTCCATAAATTACACAATACCAAACGCTTGCCACCATGTCCAGGCAAAACTTTGACTAGAAAATGTTCCATCAGTGAAACAAAATCCAGTAGAATATCGTCATCAGTTTTTAGCAAAAATTCCGCTTGCCGACAAAAGCTAGAGACCCACTTTAGCCCGGCAATGCCTTTGTGAGTCAGGTTTCTGTAGCTGTCCACGAAATCCTCCTGAACGATGTCACCGTAGTTGCGAGACTCCATATCTACCAAAGACTGTAGCTGTGGGCTGCTCCTGCCAAGGAGAAACACCATAGAAGCGTTGTAGAGCGCCAGGACTCGTGGATGTCCCCACGTCTGTCTTACGACCTGTCGTTTTTTCAGATTCCCTGGCGAGGAATGGATGTAAATCAGGAATCTCGGTGCTACTCGCTGGCACAGCTTCGATGGGTTATGGATGTAGCGAAAGTTGTGAGGATTTACAATAGTGGGTTGTCCTAATGGTTTCCCCAGCGCACCCACGGCCGATTGGGTCAGACTGGAAAGTCTCTCCGCGCGTTGGATCATCGCGCGAACTCGCTGATCAAACAACTCTCTCTTGTATCCGTCTTGTTTTGACGTCGATGAAGCCATTCTCGTCGCCGAACTGACCCCTCCAGGAGGATCTACCTGTATGTCTACTCGTTGTATTCGTCTTTCTGCTCGTATAGGACCAACAGCTAGCTGCGGGACGTTGAGAGCGGGGCTGGTGGGTCGTAAGTCCACCGTAATGAGGTAGACGCACAGACAGACGGACACTGCCGCTGTCAGGAAGATGGCGAGCCGGAGAACGCGGGAGGGGCGGGGGAACATTCTATGACGTCACGCTGCCGGCCTGACCGGCCCATGAGGTGATCCCCGGTCAGACTTGGTCAAGATTGGAATTGAGTTAGAACTTTGCACTCCATTCAAGCTCCGGTTCTTCAGCCTTTACTACGGAAAATGAACTATTTCACAGACCACAATGAAATCCAGCGTTTCCAATACAAGTCGGGTTGTCCAAGAAGCCCGACTTCAAAACTGATGTCCATCTCCGATACCAGGATGTACAGCGCCTTGAAAAATGTTCAAAGTGATTTATGTTGAGAGTAATTCTTGAACTCGGATTGAAGTGAGCAACTAGGCTGGTGTCTTGCTTGTGAGGGAATAGACTTCACGTCTGAAGAGCCTCGTGGAAGGTAGAAAGTTCATGGCGAATATCTGGGGAAAAAAGAAGAACGCCAAATATTAATACTCGTTGTAGTGTGACAAAATCGAATCACTCATATGTCGTGCCAGCGTTTCGCTCCACCCTATTCGGGACTCTCCATCTACCTATCTATGGCGTTCTCTGATGATTCGAATGTATTTCATTACGTTTCAAAATGCTAATGTATTCTCATACTGAGGTGTGAGAGGGCCGGTGAATAGACTACACCATGCATAAAATCATTCTGCCTCTGTGCTATCGGGGGCTGGGGGACCTAGGGTGGTACTTTTAAAAGTTTTTACACAGGTCATCTCGCCCCAGGTGAAAAAACAAAAGAGAACGGAAAATGGGAAATGGGGGGTGGGGTTGGGGGTGGGGGGCAGTTAAGTTTCAAGCTGTTTCAACCTTGCTTTTATCGACGGACTCGTTAGATAGAACACTTTAATATTACAATGAAGCAAAATAACGGATGATATTTAGAAGCGTATACGATATCAATTACAATCATAATAGGAGTTAGTCACCGGTTTCTGCTAAACTTTGCACATTAGTAGTAACAGCAGCAGCAGCAGCAGCAGCAGCAGCAGCAGTAGTAGTAGTAGTAGTAGTAGTAGTAGTAGTAGTAGTAGTAGTAGTAGTAG